CTTTTTGCATCACTTCTTTCCATGGATGATGGGAGAAGATCAGAAATCGGTAAAGAGGTACATGGGTTGTTCGCTTTTTTGTGAACAATTGTTCATAACAAAATGATTTTATCGACATCGCTGAGCAAAACTCGAACATCAGTTATCCTAAAAGAACAGAAGCATATAACGGTTAAATGAATATGAAACTTCGAACACAACCGTTCAGTTGCACTGAATGACGTGAAATGAGCTCATAGCAGCGTATGTCACAATTCACGTGGAAACGTGCGAGCAAAGGAAACGTTTCATTTTTGAAATTGAAGCGCTGAGCGGTTGGTCCTAGAATTTTTTTTGTACAAGTAATTTGAGCGAAATGATAAATTCTTAAGAAGAGGAAGAAAAGGAGAAGGTTGATGCGAGCAGGGAGAGAGAGAGAGATTGGGGCAGAGAGAGAGAGAGAAAGAAAGAAGGGAGGTTATGGATAGGAAAGGGAGGCTGATTGAAGGAAAACAGAAAGAGATAGAAGATGAAAGAAAAGATAGAAGTTCATCGGAGAAGGTAAAGCTATTTCGGAAGCGAACATGAGTTTTGATGTTAAATAGGAGGATCTAAGCTCAGTTTTGAGATTGTTAAAGTGCTTGTGATCGTGAAAAGTTAAGGATGAATAACCTTCCAGGTATAAGGTGTAAACGTTAAGTCAATATGCGATTGAGTAAATGAGCAGGAAAAGCTATAATTAGCGGGTTTTCGTATTCAGTCAGAATAAGAACGAAGAGCTTTTTCTGTAGCTCTCATCGCAGAATGTCTTCTTCGAACTACTTTCAACAAACTTTCTTCAAATAAAAAGAAACTTTTTGAATTTCATTTCATTCAATAACGTTGTTACATCCTTTTTTCCTTTTCCTCTCTAAAATGGAAACAGCGTGGTTCGAATAATCTTCAGGGGCCTACGATAAGCTGCAAATGAAAATTCCATGAGCGTCAATCATGAGAATGTCGATGGATGTCTCTGTCCATCAGTTCATTTTCATCTTTCATGCTCTTAATTATTAAAAAATAGATATATTCATGTTTTAATGTTTTTTTTGTGAAGCCGATTGAAATGCATGACATAGAGATATCGTTCAATTATTGTCTTTCAGTCTTCGGCTCTCATCTGATAGCCTCAGATAGAATCTTACTGTGATAAATAAGACAAATAATGTAAGTCAAACGATACAGTTGTCATCGGCGATGTCATTCAATTTACCTCTATATATATCGGCTTTCGGGTCAGTCTAGCTAGTTGAGGAAGATCTCAGTATGTCACCTGAGCTCTTCAGATACACATGACAGCCAATTGTTCAACAGCGATAAGTTGACGAACTCGGACAGCAATCAAGTGCCCCCCGGCAGCAGCTTCACAGAGTTTTTTTCTTTGTCATCAGCCAAAAGAAAATATTATTTTTTTGTTGTAAATATGATATCAAAAGATGAGATAGAAGAAGGGACAGATAGCGAATGAACGAAATGGCGGAAGATACTTTTGAAATTGAGAATTCTCAGACATGTACACAGTACATACAGTATTCACTGAAGTTTTATTCTTATATATATACATATCTATATGAAGCCTGATAAAGTGCAGACGATTTGTAATCGTTCTGACTTGTTTTTTGACCATCCCTTTGTTATTCCTCAGTGAAAGTGATAACCAGTTTCTAGTGAAGGAATTCCCCAATGAGGTATAGCTAATTTATGAGAAAAAAATATATTTTTTACTAATTATTTTAAGGACAACTAAGAAAACATAAAAACAGTCCAAGAATCAAAGGAATTCTTTGAAAATAGAAGGGAAGAAATGAACACGATCAATGATAGTGAGAGAGAGAGAGAGAGGGAGCGAGGTAAATAGGAGGGAGGGAAGATGAAGGAGGAGGAGGAGGAGGAGGTGGAAACGAGAAGGAAGAAAGGTTTATGAAAATCATGAAGACATCTTAAAACTGAAGAATTCTTTTTTTGGATAATTTGCAAAATGAGATACTAACGAGAGAAAAAAGAGAGAGAACAGGGAGATGTAGAGAGAGAAATGAAGTAGCATTCGGAAGTGATGAAGAAATCTGGTTCAAATGAAATTGGCTCGCGATGAGTTTGATAGGCTTAATGAGAATAGAATTTTACTAGAAAACTAGCCCGTATATGGGGGCAATCTATGAGCAGCTGCACTCCTTGGAGGATCAGTTAGACGTATATCCGACTGATGAGCAAGCCAAAATTGAATTGAATTCAAATAGTTGGTGGACGTAAAAACGGTTCAAAAAGTATGGCAGACAACAGAAATTGTCGTTCACCTCAATGAAGGACGGATATATCAAAGCAAACGCTAATAGTGTCGATTTCCGTTCACAGAAATAATTATGAGATATTTATATAATATTATTTGGATATGGTAAACGATATTCTTTTTTGAAAAATATAAATAAGTTTATAACGGATGGCGAACGACGAGCAAGTCCATGCTCTTCGAGCACAAGGATGAAGTTCGAGAACGGATGAAAGAAGAAAGCTCATTCAAATTCGAGCATAGGCCACTGATCACGTATTGAGGACTTCATCATATCCAAGTAAAAAATTGGTATAAATTAGGAAATTACCATTTTTTGAGTTGCAAAATTGTCAAAGTAAAATGAGAAGGAGGAAGGAGATGCGAGAGCTAGACAAAGTCAGACAACATAAAGTTAAACAGAAAAGAGATGGAAGAATTGAATGTGGCGCCATGTCTGTGCATTTCTCAAAATGTTCCAGACTTTTGACCTTATTTGCAATTCTCTTTTTTATTTTCATTAAGTAAATGAGTAGACTGAGAGAGAGAGAGAGAAAGGTTATGAATGAAGTGATTGGATGATCAAAAGTCAAATGCGTTCGGTGCTGCAGAATATTTAGGAAAAGAATAAAGAAAAATGAGGAGATGTATGAAATAAATCTTAAAAATAGAAATGAAACATCATTCCAACAATGCGTTGATGAGAATATGTAACCAAATATAGGAAATGCTATGAAGACGTGTGGAAACGTGTGAAGCAATCTGATCATAGATGGGAAACACAATGTTCTTTCTCAATATTTGATAATTTGATGGAATACTTAGAAATTGAAAGAGAGTGAGAGAGAGAGGGATACTGCTCCTGATCTTCTTCATCTCTCTATATCTCTTTCTACCTGCCCTCTCTCTCTCTTTTTTTCTTTCTCAGAAAAACATTGTTATGTTTTAGAGAGATGAACGAAATGTTTCAAGTACTTGCCAAAGCTGCTACTGTCGTTGCTTTTGTTGACTTTTGAAAATCATTCGTCTTTCTCTGTTTTTCTTAACTCATCAGTTTTTGTTCGAGAACAAACTCCTTTTGTGATAACTTCAAGAGATGAGCAAGATTTCAAGTTTTTTTTGTTGAAAATTGAATTTCATCGTTAAAAACAATAGATGTTGTACGGATGTAGGGTTTGTATGCTCCCCAGCCGAATGGCTTACGATGCACGCAATGGACAAATGGTTTTTTCAATCTTTCTCTAGACAAAACAGAATCAGAAGGTATAATTCAGATCGTATTCGCTTACTTTCGCTAGACTAGGCTAATGGCTAGTAAGAGAGACTCACAGATAGAGAGAGAGAGAGACAGAGAGAGAGAGTGAGGTAAAGGAAAAATTGCTTTATCTTAAAATTTTTCAATAGCTTTGGTCAAGTTTTGAATTGGATTGGGTACTGTGTGTGAGGTGAATGGTACAAAAAGATTAAGTGAGGTGAAAGAAGAAAGGGTTGTGTGAGGGCAAAAAAGAAGTTGAATCGTCTTGACGACATCCGATGTGACAATGTTTGAGAAAGTGGAAGGGATAAGTGGAAAGAGAGTGTCTGACGAGCACTCCTCTCTCCCGTCTGACAATCAACTAAATACACTTTAATTTGTCTTCTAAGCTTTTCTAACAAGACTATCATTTCATGCTTGAAGATGTTTTTCATCTTTCGAACTGTCTGTTTTATTCTTCTTCCTTTCGTCGCTTCGTTTTCTTAGAAGCTATGGAGCTTAGACCGGCTCAAAGCTGGAAATGAACAGTTTTTTATGTTCGGCAGATTGTTGAGATGACACGAAAAAGTGGGAAAGATGAAAAATTGTTAAACATAAATAATATTCACATAGTATTCGAGAGTTGATCTGGATAGTCAACGTTCAAAGAACTATCCTCTCTTTCTCTCGCTTTATTAGCTCTCATCTGAATGAACCTGTTTTTCAGTAATTTTTAACTTTTTCAATTCTTCAGAATCAGACAACCAGATCATTTCGACAGTCTGTTAGTTCTGTTGAAGGGCAATATAAGGTATATAGCTAAGATATACTAATTAGCATAATTCATTCAGGTCTCATTTGGACATCAGATGGTTGATGTGAAAGCAATAGATGGGCTTGAAGTTATATATCCAAAATCGCCTCCATTTGTGGTTGGAGAGAAGCAGTTATCACATTTAGAAACAGTATTAGGACGTCGAAATGCAAATATGGAAAACGAGGTACGGGAAATGGTGGAAAAGGAGAAGCTCAAATGGAAAGTTTCATGATTATTCATGAATTTTTTGAAATGTTTTGGAGACGAACATGTGACAACAATTTGCTGAGCGGTCAGTAAAGAAAAAAAACGGAAATTTTTGCTTACAAATTCGAGTTAAAAAGGAAATGAAGGCCTTTTTGAAGGAAGGAAAAAGAAAAGTCTGCAAATTCATGTATTTCACCAATATCCGCTAAGTTGTTAGAGCTTTCAGGAGAAGATCTCAGATAATTAGAAATAAATAAGATGTGCTGCTTAATAAGAGATTCCTCGTTGTTTAGAAAGGAATGAATGAAGAGGGAGAGAGGGAGAGAGAAATAGAGAGAGAGAGAGAGAAGGGGAAGCAAAAAAAAGAGAGGAAAAGAGAGAGAGAGAAAGATAGAAAGAGAGAGAGCAGATGAGAGGGAGTAGGATGTGATTGAAGAAATGTCCTTTCTCTTCAGACTATGGCGTTGCTCTGTCCTTATCTGAAATGTGAAGAAACTGACGATTGTATTGAAGAAGTAAAACCAATTGGCCATTGTTGTCCCATATGCGGTAATGAGATGAAAAGAAAAAAAAAGTTTAAAACGAATGTTTTTATTTTCAAGGAGCCTTAGTTCATTTCGTTGGATACGATATCGGATATGAGAATGTTAAAATGGATATCGAAAAGGTTAAAGCAACAGAAAGAAAATTTATTTTGTTTTGTCAACTTTTCAGTTCATCCAGAAACATCCGCAAATTGCTGAAAACTATGGGTTTGAGCTCGATCGCCTGGATGATGATGAAACTCCGTCGTCCTACCAGGTGGGGGGACCGTTCTCTTCTGATCCATAAACTTAATTTTCTCTTATACAAACATAGTTTTTCATATTTTTCTTTAAGATAACAATTTATAAAACAAATATGGATATCGGATTTGATGAACAGCCGGTTAAGGACCTTCTCGGGTATTTGGAGTACAAACTTCATCAACAACTTCGTAAGCAGCTCATATATTTTTCAAACATACACTCATCCCTTTAAGGAACTACCCTCAAAGTGACGCAGTTCCAGATTTACATGAGCAGGACAGACAGATCTATTCAATTAAGTCTAGTAAACATGTGTCTATGTGTTCGTGACTCCTCTCGTTATAGGCTCCATCATTCTTGGTTCACTCCTGTTTGTTACCTTGATGGTGACCATCAGCATGAAGATCATATGGAGTGATCCCATCTTATATGAAAGGTTTCAATTCTCCTAATATATTCTATTCTTTTAAGATTTTTAAGATTTTCAATGAATTTCCGCGATAAAATACCAAGCTTATCATTTGCCGTTCATTTCCATGCCGGAAGAGATGAAAACGAAATTCAAATGATTGCCAAACCATCTCAAATTTCTGATGAATACGACGATGTAAGGAAAACAACACAAAAAGTATGAAAAATAATCTTTAATCTCAGTTAAAAAGTGAAGAAGAAGAAGAAAAAAGCGATGGAAATGAGGAGATGAAAGATGAAATCAAAGGGGATTTCATCACAACGGATCATCTGAAAGGAATAACAAACCCAACGTTTGAAGTTGTCAACGAAACATCTGAAGAACTTAAATTGATCGACTTATAAAACGAAAATTATTTTTAAATAAAGAACGTCTTGTTACGCGCTCTATTCGCAGTTAACCAGAACACATTGGCACATTCGTCAACAAGTACGAGAATGTCCACGTGGTAGTAGTGTGAGTTGAGGATTTCGAAAATAGTGCGTAAAGTGTTGGCAGCCATCCATGCAAACTAGGGGTATAGTACGCGTTACTTAGAAAGTGTATGTACTTTGCTGCTTCTCAATTACAGTCCGACACAGTTTTCATCTCTACATTGTCATTGAGCACCTACACATGTAGACAGAATGGCATACGGTGAATCATATGACTTCGCAATTTATTTTGTGAAATTTATGTTAAGACTGTTATAACGGAGTTTTTATTAAAAAATGTACAAGAAAAGAGCAAAATATTTCCAGTAAAAATGAATATAAAAGCAGAAAAAAATTTCCCGTAAGCTTAGGCACCAGTACAACGTTTCATCAAACTTTTTTTTTGAAAAAAATGAAAAAGTTATAAAAAAAAATTGAAATGAAATGAACAATGATTCATATGACTAAGTGTGTTAATCTGTTTGTTCGCAACGTATTCGTATTGAAAAAGGGATAAAGAAACATTGAAAATGAACTATAAATCTCTTTGAGAGATGAAATGACGCGTTGAGTGTTATATTAACATATTGTTTGTCACTTTCTTTGGTTGGAAATGAGTGAAAATTATATTTTTGTTCTCTTAATTCATTTGTTGAAAGATTCAATTCAGATGATTGCTTATTAACTGCTTTCATCTATTTTTTTGCTTTTGGAATGTCTCGAAAGTTTTCCGGCACTTCTGACAGTATGCTATGCCATTGTCCGACAGGCTTTTGTTTCTGAAATAGAAAACAGATTATCTATCTATATATCATGTATGCATGCTTTCATCTAATTGAATTGTACTCAATATGCTAATTAACATTTTACACGCCTTCACCACAACCATCCACGTGATAGTTCACGTGTGTGGGCGGTGATGCTCATTTGACTTCATTCATACGCCACCGAACGATTGCATTCAACAGGTTCGTCTTTCACTCATTTTCTTTCCTCTTCCTTCGTTTTTTTTTATTTTTAAGGAAACATTTTTGTGTCGTCATACGTACATTTGTCATTCTTCTTTTAATTAGTTAATCTCTTACTTGTCCAGTTTCCTTTGAAGCTGTTGCTAAGAAACAGTTCTCCCATTGTTGTTTTCCTTCTGGTGTTGGTGAATCTTTACCAAGGACACAACAACCTAACAAATCATCTTTACCGATTCTGTAAGAAATGTAAAAAAATAATTAAAAAATCTAAGATATGCTAATTACCTATCCCAATCCATAACCTGCACAAGTAAATTTGTTTCTGGAACCTGATTGATTGGAATTTCGAATTCCAAAGTTTCATGATAGACAGGATTCAAATTTGCCCGTTTAATAGATGATTTTCTCAATTTTACACGTTTTCCTCTATACACCTGTTCAATTTTGACATAAGGATCTATGAATATTTAGAATATTGAAAAATGATTTTTAAAATGAAAAAGTACCAGAAGCACCAGTTATATCCATTGGTCGTAAATTATAAGCTTTAGCAACAGTCACCAATAGTTTTTGTTCATGTGAAACATATTGTAAATATAATAATAAATCTCCGAAATCATTTTTTTCCTGAAATATTTCATTTGAACAACAACAAAAAAAATGATATCGTTGTATGTGTGTGTGTGTGTGTGTGTATGTGAGTGTGAAGTCGCGTGGATTTTTTTGGGAACACGGAGGAGCACACAGAACCATACGCTAAACCACATACGCACAGACGACACACACATGTGTTTTTGAAATGAGAGAATATGGTGTAGGAAGAATGAAAGCTCATATTTTCTTCCTGGTTGAGAGGGAGAGGACTTCCGGAGAGAATAAGGAAGACAAAGAGAGAGAGAGAGAAAGAGAGAGAGAGAGTATATGAAATACGAAAAGGCTTTACCTGACTTCCAACTATTTGCATTGTATACTCTGTCCATGTGTAAAGATCACTTTTATCAAAAAGATCTCTCATAATTACATTTCCTATGAGACCATGTCGAGTAAAACGATCGAAATCATAAACAGTAAACTGAAAAACATAATTATCATTAGTTGAATATGAAATTAGAAGAAACCTGAAGCATTCGATGATGTAAACTATTGAATGAAACGTCAAATGAAAACATTTCATTGAATTCGGGATCGAGGGTTTTCTTACAAATTCGAGTTTTACAATGATTTCGTCGTTCCGGTAATAGATACATCTTAACATAAGGATCGACAGTTCTGTTTTTATCCTAAAATGATGAAGAAGATGAGTACAGTGGAGTAGTTGTAAGACATACTTCTACAGGTAGATTACTAGCTCGTAAAACATGAAGCATCAGAACCCTGTGAATGAAATCATATCGAAGAGCGAAAGTGAGAGATCCCCTTAAAAAATAATTATAATCAGATGTTGATGATCAATAACAAACCTAAAACAGTCTCCGGTACTTTTTTCGTAAAACCCAAGTTCATAATGTAAAACACTTTTGTCATCCATGTCATCCTGGAAAATCTTTACTCTGATTAAGGGGACACGTCCTTAGCATTTTCGAAAATCTCTTTCTCTATGTTGTGGGAGTGTGTTGTTTGTTAAAATACACTTTAGTTGTTGTGGGCGAAGTAACAAGTTCAAAACATTTAAACTCATTCATCATTTTCATTTTTGGAGACAGGAAGTCAGTAAGAAATCAGTAAAATTGTGAAATATCGACAGATGAAGCTCACATATTCCATTATTCAAGTTCAGAGAGAAGAAGGAAAAAAAAGAAAATTTTTAATTATAACTTGACAGCTTTTCATATGCATATCTCCATTCCGAAATCCCAATAGAAAAATAATTTTTTTTTGTTTTTTTCCGTTGTGCAAAGCTTTCGGATAAAGCCTTACATGGTTATAAACATTGCTTATCAGCTGATAAAAGCAGCAGAAGAAGACGAAGACGACGACGACTGAACGGAAAAGAGTTTTCCTATTTCTGTCAGTAAGAGCAATTCATATCTGTTCCATACTCAGATAATCCATAGATTATCTTCGTCTTCTTCTTTTTTTTTCTGTTTCATTCATCCATGCTTACGTATAGAAGCTAAGGTTTCTTTCTTTTTTTTCTCTCTCTCTCTTTCTCTCAATTTACCTGCTGACTTTCATCATCGATTGAGAATAAGAATAAGCTATTTTTGGTTGATGATGTCCTTCTATCGTCTATCAGCATATCACAGCTATCGGATCTAAAATATATTTTTTATTTCATGGAACTACATCCTAATCAAGTTATTGAGTGAGTTTAGAGGATCAGACACTTTCGTGAAACATACACTTTAACGAAAAATATCCAAGAGTAAGAGAAAGACAGAATATTCGATGAAAACTTACGAGCTTGGAATGGCTGGTGATGTACAAGGTGAACTACGAGTTGAAAGACGTCCTCCACCTTTCTCCATCCATGGAGGGCTTCGATCATCTCTCCACATGACGCGAGCCTTATAGGATCCATTCATCTCTTGAAAAAAAGGAAAAAAATTAAAAATTATTCAGTTAAGAGGGCTATTTGTTTTGTTTGTTTTAGAGAAGTTCAACAAATCAACGGACTATTTGGAACAACGAAAAACAGAAGAAGCTGATGAAGATGAAGGAGGGAGGGAGTTGTCAGATAGTTTGAAAAGTTCTTTTTGAGAAGGACGAAATGAGAGAAGGAAGGAGAATGAAGAAAAAAAAAAGAAAACAACCGCACCGTACGTCAACAGCAGCTCAAAAATGAAAAAAGGAAAGTACTTTCTGTGTTTTACGTGAAATACATCACGTGCAGCGTTTAAATGAGTATCAATATGCAAATTAGGTAAAGATAATTATAATGAAGCGATTCTTAAGTCAAATTGTTAGTTAAACATCAAATAATATAAATATATATATATAGATATAATTATTATAAATTATGATAAATTATATGGTGAAAACATTATTTTTTTTTGAAGGTATGGATTTTTAAAGAGATAGAGGTGAGATGTGAGCAGGCGAGAGAGAATGAAACCAAATGGAACGATGTGAGAGAGGCAGAAGAGGATTTTCTTTGAATAACAGATGTTAAAGCTGAGAATTCAGTTGATGACTTCATCAATGGCTCTTTCACATTAAAAAAATAAACGTCGTTTTTCATCAATTGAAGGGCGGATACTTGGAAAATAAAACTTTCGCATCTGATAGCGTGAAGATAAGAATTGCTTTATCCTTAAGATATGCACATGTACACAACACATCCTTCCTCTCAACCATTTAACTTTCTCTTTTTTTTCACTCTCTCCCTCTCTCGGTCTCCTTCTTTTTATTTCTTTTCACAACCTCTCTAACTTCCTCCCTTCACCCCTCACGATCAGCAGAAAAAATGGAGAAGAAGATGAAGGGGAGGAACAGGAAGTTTGTGTTTTCAGTCACATTTCCATTTTATGAGATCATTTAACAAAGAGACACAAAGTAGAGGAGAGGAAAAAAAAGTGGTTCCGAAGCAAAAAGTTATTCCGATAGAAGCTGATAGTTTTTTTTTTCTTGTTCTATTGAAGCGTTGAAACGCTTGAAAGCTGATCTGATACAAGAGGAGTGATTGTTGTTAAACTAATACTTATGCAGATTCCAAGAAAAATCACTCGATTATCCGCAGCTTTTTCTCTCTTTCTCCAGTTATGGCATTCAACAAAATAATCTCTATAATTAAAAGATACTTGAACACGAGATGAACAGGGGTGGGGGGAATCTTTTGTCTTTAAATTGCTCAAGATAAAAGTCAAAATGCTCCAAAGAAGAAGCTTATCCCATATGAATGAGAATGACATCATTAAAAATTTTCTTTTTTTTTTTTTTCGTTTGAAATGGAAAATTTTGCATCTCGTCCTCGTCGCCCACATCTCGTCGGCTTTTAACACAGACAAGAGGAGGTGAAAGAGAGAAAGAGAGAAAAAGAATTTTTCTGGTCTAATCGGACTACACTGTAACCGAGAGATCACGTTTCAACAGAACACTTTCGTATTAAAACCATCCAAATTCAATTTTAGTTTCTTAAAATAGCAAAGACAAGAATGAAAAAATGATTGGAAATCATTATCAGTCAGGAATTTTAATTAAATATCTTATTAGAATCCTGTTGAACTATCAGACATCAAGCAATGAAACAGAAGGCGGCGAAGGAGCTGCATACTGATTAGTAGAAGGTAGAGAGATACAGAGAGAGAGAAGGAGTGAAGTCAAAGTAATCTGGCTTCAGGTACAGCATTCGATTCCAAATTTTCGAGCGAAAAGAGAAAAGCTTGTGAACTAGCCGAAAGCAAGAGAAAAAAGTCAGAAAAAAATTTATATCGGTATCGAATCTATCAACTGGAACTACAGGAGAAAATCTTTTTTTCAGTTTTATCCCCAAAATGAAGTAGGGAAAAGCTGAAAAATAGTGTAAACAGTGGCTAATCATAACGCTTCCAGATGATGAAGAACAAAAATTCCGAGAAAATATGAGAAAAATTAAAAAAGAAGAAGCCATTCGAACGAATTTGGTGTGTTTTCACATTCAGTTCAAACACTTCAAAAGCGGACTAAAACCTTGTCAGAAAAAAGAATAAAAAAATTTGCTAATGATACTAGCCGATTAGCTTAATCTCCCAATCAGGCATCATGCTGTTGAAGCCTCTGTTTAATGGACATCTGGAAGCTTTCGCGATCATCAAACAAACTATGAGTTGAGCATTCAAAACGTTTTTTCTTTTATTTTTTTTGCACAAAAATGATTTTTCCTTCTTCCTGGATATCTCTGTGCACATCTCATATTCAAGCAAAAATGATTTTTTCTGTTTTTTTTTATAAATTATCTTGAACTTCTCACGAGAGGAGGGAGGAAGACAGAAAATGGAAACGAAAAGGACAACAGAGTTGACAAGAGAATGCCGAAACTACAATTGGCAAAGTCAAAACGACTTTTCTATTCGTTCTTGGCTCAATTTCTCACATCTATCTCACTGACCACAAAAAGAGATTTCTTATCAACACACACATACACATACACACGCACAAACACATTCGATCATGAGAGAGGGAGAGAGATAGGGAGAGTGGGAGAGAAGAACAATCTCTTCTATTTCTGGGGTGTAAAAAATGAGAAAAAAAATGAAAAATTCTCAAATATTATAATGATGAATTGGAATTAGCTGAACTGATGATAATTGAATTTCTCAAAATTGTTTAATTTCCAAGAAGAACTCAATGAGATTAGAGATATTTTTATTTGAAAGTTATAAATGCAACGAGCACACATCAGTGGTCTCAGTCGAGATGACCAGAAAAGGCCAACAGAACAGAAAAAAATATTCATATCTGATCAATTGCAATATATGATATATTGGGAAAAAAAAGCAAAAACAGAAGAAGCTTATTTAGCTCATAGCAATATGGAGCAATGGTAAGAGGTGACGTCGATAGAAATATATGGAAGCTTCAATATCTATTCTGTTTCTCTTTCTCTCTCTCTCTATTCATATCTTTCTCTCTCTCTCTCTCTGTAAGTCTTTTTTCATTTCTCAGTATCTCTCTGTGTGGATGAACCAGCTGTACATACTTGAAAGCTTCTCTTTTTCTATGCGCCCTTTAGTTCTTTCTCAAATGGGTCATCATTTGCTTGTTTTAAGAAAAAAATGGAAGATATCTCACAGAAATGATACGGACCAAATAAGAGGAATTATTAAAATGAATACATTCATCTCTTCATCTGGGTCCTTCCTCTACCCCTTTATCACAAAAAATGCTAATGAGAGGCTTGCCTGAGAGTAGTAGGAAGTATAGCAATACAGGAGATATGAGAGAGTCGAGATCGAGAGAGAAATATGAAAGAAAGGAGAGAAAAAGAAAAAATAAATTTTCGAAAATTCAATGGGAAGTGTATTTGTATCAATTTTGAATTACAACTCTTTGAATTAAAGTGAAAAATTGCTAGAATACGTTTGTAGAGAAACATGTCAGCCCTCCTGCCGAGTTACCTCTATGTGTCTCTTCTATCTCAATCATCTGAAAGTGCTTGAAGCCAAACAGCATGATTCACCATGAGTTTTCACAATTACAAGAAGATAAAGAGAGAGATAAATAGAGATATAATAAAGGGCATAGAGAGAGGAAGAGGTTAAAAAAAGATTGAAAATAAAATAGAAATAGAACGATACATTGTATATGTACGTATGAAGGGTGGAAGGTGGTAGAGAGGAATGGCCGGAGCTGTATCACTGTGTTCACACACAAACTGATTTCAACACTCGAGAGAGAAATTATTTCCAAAAAAAAAAAAGAAAAATCAGAAGTTTTCCAACAAAAAAAATCTTTTCATGAATAAACTTTGTAAACAAAGATATTTCGAAACGAAACTGAAAATCCTACCTCGTGCACGCTTTCTCATCGTTCGTTATCAACTGACTTGGAAAAATAATTTTTAAACAATTTTGTTTTTTTTTCTCTCTCTTTTTTGTATTTTAAAAACTCTCATAATCAGCTTTGTCATCTTATTGATGAATTATATGCGTTTTATTTTAAGTATTCTTAGTTAGTCATTAAAACGGAAAAAGGAATTCCATGTGACTGCACCTGCTTTTTCATCTTCTTTGAAGCGCATCGGATAAATGAAATCATTTGTTAATCGAAGGCTATTACTCGTAAATGATGACGAGAAAACTATAGAAAACATAAATAGAAAGAGAAATGAAATGAAAGATAGAGAGAGAGAGACAGTAGAAGTATCAGAGAGAGGGAGTTAGAAAGAGAAAGAGAGGAAAGCAGAATTGTTAAGAGGGAATGATGTTTGAGGGTGGGAGGGAGTGGGGGGTTAGCTGCAAGAACTGAGTGAAGCTTCAACTTTCTTTTCCAGTTGTACAAATAAAGGTTAGGCTCATCAAAACATCATAACTTGATTTAATGAAATGAGGATGAGAGAGAAGAGAATGGTACAACCGCTCGTCATCGCATGAAACAGGTAAATGATACAATAATATTCACGTGATCACGTGAAACTCTACGTGTGGCGTGAAAACATCTCCAAAACTAATAGATGATCGTAAATAAAAGAAATGACTTGTTGTTCTAGAGAATCAACATTCAAAAAAAGTTTTTTCAGCTTTTGCTCTCTTGCTCATCATATCTAGTATGAACAGAAGCTTGCTCAGTCGGTAATAGTAGTGAAACAAGAGAATTCGTAGTGTGAGTGTGCAGCCTCCAAAAGCCAAAATCAAGAATTACCTTTTAAATCAAAGAAACTAATGTCATGATCGTTTTTTAGATGTTTGAGAGGGAAAAGCAACAAACGCTTGCCAATCATCGTTTTCAAATAAAAAATTGCTCAAACACTTCATGCGACAGCTTCTTTGGTATTCAAGAAGAGAGACAAAGAGACAGAGAGGTGGGAGAGAGGGAATATGGAACTAAACCAAAAAAAGAAGGTTTTTGACCTGTCCATGCAATTAACTTGGTTGTGTGACTCGCATCTGACTTCCACTTGCATATTGAGAGTATGGGTAGTAGTTCGAATTGAACTTGAAGTTGAATAGATTACGTAAAGCTCAGACATTTTTTTTTGTTCTTTCATTGTCGTACAACCCTTTCTTCATTTTTGATTTTGGATTTTAAGTCTCTTCAGAAAAACGACAAATTAATCCAAGGAAGTGTTTAGTTCGTCATATTTCATTCGTTCAACTGCTATCAATCGGGTTTTTTAAGGAAAAAGCCCCCAATGGACGAACAGTCAAAAAGTAAAATATGAAAACAAAGAAGAAGAAGCAGAAGAAGAAGAAGAAGAAGAAGAAGACGTAGAAGGAAGTTTTATTTACACAAATATTTCAGAAAAAGAAAAAAATGGAATTGGGAGAGGAGTTCAGAGGGAAGAGGGAGGAAAGGAATGAAGGAAGGCGATTGAAGGAACTTTGGCGTAGAAACCTCAAAGAGAACGCCAATAGTCATTCATTATATTTCTAAAAATGAGCGGAAAAATGCATTTGATCGTCTCGGGGATCATGGTGTTAGGAAAACTAAGGTGATGGATGTAGTGATGCAGAAGAAAAGTTTTATCAAATGAGCCCAACGACTAAAAGATAATAAAGAATTGATAATTAGCTGCCGTTTTTATTTCCTGTCATCCTCTGCATGTTCTCTAACTCAACTGTCTGACACTCATTTTTCATTTCTCTCTTTATCTCGATGCCTCTCTCTATCTGTACATGGATAAGAATGGTAAAGAAAACAAAAGAAGCCAAAATGAAAACAAAAAGCATTCAAATTCCCCAAAGACAGTTGGTAAAGAGAATGTGAATAGAGGAAAGTAATATGTTAGAGGATGGGAGGGAGAACGGACGAAGGATGGTGGAAGGGAGGGGGGGGGAATAGGAAGATGGTGAAGAAGCTTTGAATTTTCCTTCTTCTTCTCACTTAATCATTGTCTTTAGCTTAGAGGTTTCTCCTATAATTTGGCCATATCATGTCTGAGAAAGATACAGAAAATAAAACAAAGAATGAACTAACTTGAATTAAAGACGTTATTTGATTATTCAAAGAGAGAGGGAGAGAGGAAGAGAGAGAGGTTGATGAAGAGAGGGAATGAATGAGAGTGAGGAAGATGATGAAGTATAAGAGAGAGAGAGAATGAGAGGGAGGAAAAGAAAATTGATGTAAACGGGGAGGAGAAGCAAAGGCACAGCAAAAGCACAACGGTTAAGAAGAAAGCTGCCGATTTGCCGTAATTTGAATTAGGAAAACGTGTCAAACTGAAATAAATCAAGACAGCTTCATTTAACTTGAAAGTTTTGATTTAGACAAACTTCAGGAGAGAGAGAAAGAGAGAGAGAGTGATAGAGAGAGTGAGAGATTTGAAGATGGCGAAGATGATTAAGAGAGAGTGAGAGAAAAAGAGAAAGAAAAACTAAATTGAGAAGTTCATTTGAAGTTTATTTGTTTTCGTCAAAAGCACAAGAAGCTCATGAGAATTCTATTTTTCAGCTTTTTCTCACTACCATTCGCTAATCATCAAAATTATTATGAAAAAGGCAAAGTAATTTAGGTAAAATTCTACTGTAAAAAGAAGAAAAGCAGAAAAAAAGCTGAAAAAAGAAGAAATTGACGAAAAGCTCATTAAACTACCAAATAAGGAAGAAGACGAGAATGAGAGTGTGAGAGAGTAAGATAGATAATGATAAACAGATTATGGAAGCATTAATATATTCATTTATAATTCATAATTAACTCTAAATGAGAATCCTATTCGATGACCAAATCAAGAGATTGAGAAACCTTATAAAGTAATAATTTTTTCTTTTTTATCCATCAAGGTTTTCCATGTGCACGTGGTTGAATCATTTTTGAAGGATTGCTCAAGGAGATGAACAAAATGAGATTTCAGTCGTTTCCTCTTTCTCTCTGCATTCTCATTTTCTCTTTCTCTCTACTACTACTACTACTAGTAGTCTACCTTTACCTCTCTTTCTCTTCTTCTCTATATCTCTCACTCTCTTCATCTCGCACTCTGTATCTTTTTTTTTTCACAATTTTTGAGGGAAATAAGAAAAAAAAATATTCTTTTGAGCTCAGAAACTAATAAAAAGTATTTTTGAAGGCATGAACGCTAATATGCTAATGTGCTACGTGTCACACGTGAATATGAATAAATGCATTTCATTAATGATTGGCATGATGAGCGGTTGCATTGAAAATAGAAGAAACAGAATATTCTTTAAAATCTATCCATTTTCTATATTTTTGTTGTAAAACTTTCTTTTTCTTCTTCTTTTTCTTTTAATATATTAAAAATATATTTCATAATAAATATTAACTATATATATATATTATATATTGGTATTGTAGTAGTATGATAGATATAACTAACTAGCTATGCTCATTGTTGAATTGCTTGGAGGAACCTTTGTGACTTTGATCTGCGGCAGATTCGTCGGCACTTCTAAAAATGTTAATTAGGAAATGACTTTTACACTTTATTGTCTTTCAATTACTTTCACACATTCTCATGTTTCCATTAAAATGTATTAAAGGAACTCAAATGTGAGCCAAAAAAGAAAATTCTTTTCCATCAATACAATTTTCCTTTTTGGGGCTGCTTTTCCTTTTTCTTCCTCATTTCGCCTCCCTTTTTTTTCTTGGAAGAAGACGAAGACGACGAAGAAGAAGAATCCTTATCCGAACGAATAGAAATTCAAAGAAGTCGAAAAAGAGGCAAGAGGGCCAAGAGCAACCAGGAGAGAGGGAGAGACTAGACATGTAGAAGCAAGAAAGAACAGTCAAAGATGTAATTTCTTCTTCTCTTCTTCACCTTGCTCTTCGTTTATTCCTCTCTCTCTCGTCTTCTTCCATTTTTGGGCTATTTTTCATGCCTATTTCAAAATGTTCGCCTTTTTATTTGATGTCTGTATGTGTGTACATGCGTGTGTCCTAACGTTCGTGTCTTCACATTTTTCATTTCAAGTCATTGAACGGCAACCCAGGCAACGACAGAAGGTAGTTGTTAGACAAATGATTATTATATATATATTTTTATATATACATATATATATATATATATATATATATATATCCGTTTGACTATAATTTCAAGTTATAACATGGAGAATGCACAATTACATCTATGAATTGATCAGAAAACAAAAATAAAATGATTCTTCCGAGTTATATATCGGAAGCAGAATTTGAAAAAAGAAAAGAAATGGCATTTCATGCATGCTGCGTGTTACTTGAAGAGTTGACACGAAGACGGAAGAAGAAAGGTTGAAAAAGGAAAGTTGTTTGAACTATCAAGTTTCTTTGTTTCCAATCAGCTTAAAACCTTTTTTAGGTAAAAGGATATAGTTTACATTAAAAATTCTATTCTGTTCAAATAGATAGAGCATCGATAAGCATTTTGAAGAGCTCAATCACGTGTGTTATACATTGATCTGAAGGGATGATGTAGTTGTAGCATAGAGAGAAAGAGTGAGCCAGAGAGGGAAAGATCAGAAATGTGCTGAGAGAAGAGAGAGAGAGAGAGAGAGAGAGAGGGGGGAGATGATAATTTCCGTTTACAGAGAACAGCTATTTTTGAGTTCACATGTAAAAGATTTTTTCATTCATTCATCGATGGACGGATGGATGGATGGATGGATGTGCAAGAAGAACCTTTCGAAACAATTTGAAGAACATGAAATCCAAAAATATGAAGTTACCGTATAATGAAAGGAATAATTAATTTGCTGAAAAATGTGAACAACCGATCGATGTGTTTGATTTGAGAAAAAATGAAAAAAAGGCTCATTTGAATGTGTTATCCCACTTTCATCTCATCAATTTCACGTATGCAAATGAGGGTGGGAATTTTTGTGATGAAAAAAAGTGTTTTCTTACTTTTTTTTATTTCAAAAATTTAAAAATGTGCTTTGATATGACCTATGGCTGAATGTAAACGATCTTCGAAGTGTTACTATTGCTAGCAAAAACAGAAATGTGTTGGTAGAGAGTATGAGAGAGAGAACAAGAATTTAATTTGCTGCCCTTATAAGTCCGATAGGAGAAGCTGATCACGTACCTCCAGATAGTGTAAGTCGACGAATAATTGAGATTTTCCTGCCAATCACTTCAGCTTTAGAGGAAACAGAATTATTTTCGTTTTTATTCATAACTTTCAAAGTTTTCGTTTATGAATGATATTCAAGAATTGAAGTATGCGTATTGCAACAACGGAAACGAGCTGATAATGATGGATTTTTTGATTTGAAAATGTTGATGATGAAATGAAAAAGTTGTTCGTCGAGTTGTGTCTTCTTCTTCTTTCTTGATCATTCAAACAAAAACTGTTTCTTCCACGTTGTTTTCTTTCTTCTTCTTACTAGGAGTGAAAAGAAAAAAAAAATAGACAACTATTAAGGAATTATGAGAGTTTTGCCGGATGAACGGAAACCTGTTCTGCTGATGATCGGCCGAAGTTCAAACAGATCGCCCGAATATTCTTTGACGCCGATAGAACACGCCAAAGACAGTTTTAGAAGTTGTAGTAGAGAAATGAGATGCTTTCCAGAGTTGTTTTGTAAAAAAAAAAAGTTTTTTTTACTTGTTGAAGTTTGAAAGCATCAGCTTCCTCTTCTTCTTTATTCGCTAAGTCATCAGGGCTTCAGAAGATCAGTTAAAGCTCAGAAAAGTTTGTGTCTATCTCTGTTAAACTTCTCTCTGTGTAGCACTCTCTGCGTGTTCCCGCCTTTTCAATATGAAGCTCAATATTCTTATAGTCAATTAGTGCGAATTCAAAGTCAATTACAATGATGGACCGGACCGGAAATCCTGCTTTCCGGTTTTTGCTTTTTGCTTTCCCTTCTCCTCAACACTACTGAAGTTGCTAATTGGTTAGCAGGATTGATTTAGTTTGACCGTTGCAAAACAAACTTTAACTAGTTAAATCTTAAGAAGTTACTCGGTCGTCATGAGAGACCGAGAAACAAAAATAGAAAAAAGAGGTTTCATAACCTTTTGGGACTTGGCCATAGCTCGACATCGCAAAGCTTTCCTCATTAGCTAGTAAAGGGATTGTTAGGGTGCATGCAAACGAGCTGATTGCAGAGTGATGCTTCCACCTACAGTGTGTTATAGAGAGTGTAATAGAACGGTAGAGCGAGAGGCTATACGAACATGAGAGAGAGAGATTTTTGATTTTCTAAATAGAAAAAAAATGTTCAGTTAAAACCTCATTGATCACCTTTTGTTACGTAAGGGAATTGAAAGGTTGTTGGCTTCTCAACTTCCTTCATTGGATAAATAAGAAGAAGAGATGCTAAAAATCAAAAAGAAAAAAGTTTCAAAGCCATTCATTGATTCACGAAATCTTTTTGTGAGGCTCAAAGGCAGAAAGAGAATGTCCTTTTATGAACTCCACGCATCTTTTCATAAACTTTTTGGAGATGAAAATTGAATTTCTCCGAGAGTGATGAAGAGGCGAGGGAGAAAGAAATTCAAATCTTGCTGATGATGTGACTCTTCATCTTCTTACCATCATTCGAAAAACAGTCATTTAACTATATTGGGTTTGCATAATTAGCAAACATTCAGTATATCTCTCAATGAACGCTTCTCCCCCCTCTCCTTCCATTACAAAGCAGAAGAACGGTTCAAGAGAGATTGAAGAAGAAATCCCGAAAAAAGGGGTTCTCTGTCTTCGAACACAAAAGAGAGGGAAAGTAGGAAGAGAGAGAGGGAGAGAGTGATAGATAGTTGGGTGTGATGTGAAACAAAACAGAACAAAGATTTTGATCTAAAAATAAAAAAAAAACTTCTTTTCTCTATTTCTCTCATCAGACATGCTCATCAGACATATCATTTGTCTAACTTTCATAACTTATATATAAATAATATAATTAATTATAATAAAGATTACCAGAATATTTGTAGCGTCCACCTGTTGTCCGACATAACGTCATTCCACAATAAAGGGAAATAACAAGCACAATGATGGCTAATATAATGAATAAAATACAGAAAAGCATCAGCCACACCCCCTCCATTAAAGGAGAAGGGGCGCGCACAAACACCTGTAAGAAGATTGATTTTAAAAAATAATAAAATATTAGAAGTAACGAAGAGGTACATGGACGAACATCAAAACTTGGATTTCAACAATAAGTAAGCAACAAATACAGAAATGAATGAAGAAAGAGAGATACTGATAGTAGGAGAGAGGTGAAGGAAGAGGAATCAGACATTAACAGCAGCAAGACGAAAAGAAACAATTCGTTTCAGGTTGAACGGGGGAAAATGAAAAATAAAATTGGAGAACGAGAGAATTCCATAACTGCTGCTTCACATGCAAACTGTCGACTGCGCTACACAGACACATTAAGAAGAGAAATCTTCGATAAAAGTTTTTATTTTCTTTTTTTTTCGACTTCAGCCTGAAGCATGGTGGATTGTCTGAATCCTGGCAACATAAGTGGCCATTAATCAAAATAAAGTGCTTTATATGAGCTAATTATGTGCTTTTTGAGCATTTTTCTAACTTTTCGTCAATTTTTGAATAGAAAATGTTTTCTTTACAAAATTTCTTCAATACAATTAAAATTCAGATGAGAAAAAAGGGGGGGGGGAGGAGGAAGAAGAGAGGAAGGGATGAAGAAGTGGAAAGAAGAGGAGAAAAACATGTGAAATGTAAATTCTGAAGAGGTTTCATGCGATTAGAACGATTCCGGCGATGAGACGGAAAAAGTTCATTTAGGAAGAAGCTGAAGGTAAAAGAAGGAAAAGTCTTCGGAGATTGATGGACAAGCTGTTGAGTGTAGATTTAAGCTTCTCATTAGATATGTTTGGAGAATAAAAAGAAATACAAGCGAAATCTTTAAGAAAAAAAAATATTCTTCTCCAGGAAATTGACTCTACGAATTAATAATGAAAGCATTGAGAAAATGAGCAAGAGAAGTATTTAAAGAGGAAGAGAAAATGAGAGAGAGAGAGAAAGATTATAAGGTGGATGCTGAAGTAGAGAGAGAGAGAGAGAGAGAGACTAACGTCACAGGAAATCAAAGCTGAACGTGGCAAAGAAGCAAAAAAAAGTTTTCCAAAACGTGCGTGTACCGTTCAAATTGAATAAAATTATAATATATTATAAACTTAAGCATTTGCGTATTGTTTTTGTGGAGCGACGAATTAGAAAGAAAATGTAATTATTTTATTATTTCTTATGTTTAACGTCTCCTAGAGATAGAGTGGGAGAGTTATAGAGAGAGAGAGAGGGAGAAAGGGAGATATTACAAGAAGAAATGACAATTGACTATAAAAAATGAAAGTAAAGTCCCCTCTGAATCTCATTGTATCTCTTTTCATCTCTTCCCTGTACAAGCATGTGTGTAAGTACGTGAGTGGATGTGAGTTGAAAAAATATTTCTGAAATTCATTGGAACAGCTTTAGAAGGAATTAATTTTATTTTCTTTCAATGATACTACGCATGGAATTAAGAACAATTAATTTCCAAATTTTTTTTTTCATTTTCATCCCCTCCGACCACTTTACATTCGTGGAGGTTCATCATCATCATCATCATCATCATCATCATTCACATCAGCTATACTGTTTGACGAAAAGATTTGAGCCTTCGAACATTAATTTTTTCCGTTTTTTTTTCTTTTCCAACAAATAATTGTTTAAATAAATACAGAAATTGCATAAAGTGAGTTTGTAAAAGCTGATTAATGAATTTCAGAAGCTGAACAGACGAAGACAGTGAAGAGAGGGACGAGAGAGGCAATAGATGGGTTGCAGGAGAAGACGAAATCTTGTGATACAACTTGAAAACAGCATTTAGTTTTTCAAAACTATTTTGAATGAAGTTGAAAAAAAAATTTTAATGATGATGAACTAATCTGCAGTACGTGGGTATCAGTTTCTCTCATACACACACAGCCACACACACACACACACAGACCCATATACACAATAAGGAGAGACGACAACGAAGATGCTGAAGAAGAACAAAAAAAAAGAAGAAATATGTTCAAAACAGCCCTGAGGGAAGGAGCAAAAAAAACCGAAAGCGGCTTGTCATGAGAGGAGATGAAAAAGGAAAAAAGTTAGTTTAGTATCTTGAAATATAGCGTTAAATGGCTAATAACTAACATGAATGTTCTTCGTTTTCTTCATATTTGCTTGTTATTTTTTGGAGACAAACTTCTGAATTTTATCATTTCTGAATAACAGGCAACTGACTGACTGGCGGATATAAATAGGAAAAAGGGAGGAAAGTTGAGAGTTAAGATGAGAACTAGAGGTATAAGAGAGATAGAGAGTGAAAAAGAAAATGAAGAATGAGAAGAAGTTGTAGCGAGAAATAAGCAAGTTGAGAGAGAAGAAGCAACACGACATCGCCGGTCAAATCTTCCGTGTGTTTATGCTAATTAGCTGTACGCGCGTGGCGTCTTGCATTGTACGTGTCAACAACTTCATTTTCAACCAAGTTCATGCAGGCAAAGCGGTTGCATTCACATCAAATACGAAATGTTCACTAAGAGACGACGATATGAAGCAAATTCATATTGTTAATGAATGAATGAAGGCGCAGAAGTCGCACAAGACAAAGATGGCTAAGAAGACGAAGATATTCGAAGGATTGCTGGTTGTGTCGTATAAATATTTGAGTTTCAAGAATGAAACGGAACAAGTTACATGTTTTTTGAACAAAAGCTGATGAAAAAATGAATCGAAGAGAGACGATGGGCAAAGATGAAAGAGGAATACTACTAGCGGCTACTATGATAGGATGCTCATGACGTGCTACAAGCGCGTACAATTCGCATCTAAGATTCAAACCTTCTGCTTCCATTCGCACTCTTTCTCTCTCTCTACAGCTTCTCCCTCTTAACAATCTTTTGAGTGTTTTCTAACGAAGAGAAAAAGAAAAACTAAAAAGGAACAAAATTTAAGAAACTGTTTTTCCGATTTCCAAGTTTTTGGATAAAAACAAGAATTCGAAGAAAAAAAAATTATCTTTTCCAGCCATTCTGTGATTCTTAAAGAGAAATCCTCTCGAAAGCTAATAAATTATATATTAATATTAATTTTATTTAAATATTTCTGTCAAAGTTATAATGAGACATACAACTATTTGTTTCTTCCGTCTCTCTCTCTCTCTTCATACGTATATGG